TGCCTACCTGCTTTGTTCTTGTTAGAACTGCTGATGGTGTTAAAGATTATAAGTTACAACATAGAAACCGTTTTGTTGCAAAGACGCAAAGGCCCTCTACAATGATTTGCCCATCGGCTGCTAACTCATATATGCCTTCAGAAGGTAACAGCAAAATGTCATTTCTTTGTAAGTGTAGTTAACGTTTGCTCTTTGGTAGCCGACCATTTATAAAACTTTTCCCTTCGTCTTTGTGCATATGCCGTATATTCGTTTCCCGTGTTTGTATAAATTAGTAGGCAGTTTAACCACATGCCATACGTCTGTGCCATCAGTGTCTTATTACTTTCCCTATATCGCGTGTACAAGGGGTGTTATTGTATCACTATAAAAGATGGAGTAGCTAATTTATTCATATCGTGGAGTTTGGGGTTCACTTTTCTTTCGTTCCCTGGGATTTTATAACTACCATTATGCGGAAACCTGGAACCTGTGTATGACAAAACCAGAAATCAAGTCTTCAGATTTCATTTTATCCGAGTTTAGGTTAAAGTGGTGCCATGGAAAGGAATCTGAATGTATGTGCTACAGTGCAGAATGGTAACTCATCCATATCAGTATGAACTGAAACTGCTTTGCTTTCTAGTCCAAGCAGGTAATGTGCGGTTTCTACCGCATTATTACTTGCGTCTCATTTTATGGCAAAGCCACGGCGTAAATTGAAACATGCAGGTAGCAATACGAAGTCTTAGTTGTTGGGGTTAGCGAAGTAATAATCCATTAAATCAGTTTGAATTCATACCGATATGAACTGAGCTACAAATTTTGTACACATTACAATTAATTGTCGAGGATAGAAGGATTATCACTTTGTACGGTAACATTGGTACACAATGCAAACTTTAAGGTTGATTTGAGCTTTATTTTTCTTTTTGTTGATGGCTTGTAGATGACTTTAGAAGATTGTTTTGTTTGTTCCTTACTTTATATCTTTTCGTCACCTTTCTGTTTAGTGAAAATTCTCATTATTGAAAACAGTGCTGCGTTCAAAACTACGGCGGCATTATTAATACCAGTTCGCCGTTCTCTGGATTTACTCGAAATTCGTTATCGCTGTCTTTCTTCTTAAGGTTTATCGAGCGTTTTAAACTGACTATTGTTCTGTAATACGCTACAGATTGCAGGTACTGCATGTAAAACTGCACCACTTGTTTTGCAGAACATGAGTTAGATATAACTAAATCAAAAAGTAATCGAGTATGCGCAGCATGACTGGATCACCATTGCTTCCAGAAGCCTAGGAGTTTCTAGAAGCCTTCGACAGGCCACTGCTTCATGTTTCTGTAACGTGTATGGCACATAGATGTTAAACTCTGTCATATTTCAGGTTGATAACCAATCCAGTTTCTTCATGGTAGATAGGCATGTATGTAATTAGTTATATAGATATACAAGTATTAGTGTCTGAATAAAGAGCAGTATTGTCTGCTGTGCAAGACAGCATATCGTCACCCATTTGTTTAAAGCCTAAACTGTTTTGCCATTAAAAGCTGATAGACGTTTGCGTATGGTCGTTTTGTGCTTGAAAAAATATATCGTCCACCCATATACAACTAGGGTAAAATGCGACCTCAAAATGGAGATTGGAGATCATAGTTTTTTTAAGGTTTATAGAGAGTTTAAGCGTTTCGAGAAATGGACCGTTATTTTATCTAATTTTTGTGTTCACTGAGTCAGACTTTTATGGCTGACGTTATCTATGTGTATAATGTGAACATGCTTATGAATCTAGTCTGGCTTCATTTCGTTGCACATATCGAGTAGTTTACCTGATCATGTCAAAGTTTTCGATTGCATGAAAGATCCAACATATTAAGCGTTATTTTTGCGAAAACGGTGCTTGTCATGATTTGCAGTTCGCAATTATACCTTTCAGAAACAAATTCAGATTTTTGCTGAGGTGCATATTTTTAAATTGATTCGCAAAATTACTAGAATTGAGGAAAATTGGCTTCCCACAAGTGCACAGCATTTGCCTTGCTCCAAAAATGCACTGTTGATAGATAAATATTACGCGTTTGTCGTTGTCATGCAAATGTTAATAATCTTTTATGAAAGTCACCTAAGAATATTCGGTAACTTTCTGAACTTTTCGAAATGACAGATGGCTTCATTCTTCCGAGAACGCTGAAGTTTCGGATTTGCTGGCTATGCTAACAGGTGGTTGATTATTGGTGCTGGGTTTACGAGATGATGATTTATGCTGGGTTTAAGAGCATGTCATATTTTTAACGTCGCTGTCATAGCGCCGTAACGATGATTTCATTGTAGTTCATCGAGTCCTAACTCTACAGGATGATTTACTCTGCAGCCAGACTTAGTTTAGAGGTAGTCTAAGTTTGTCTCTTTCCGATCTTGGGTTGTTGAATTCACGTATGCAGTTGCTGTGTTGGTTAAGAAACGTTTTTTTTGGAAATTCATATGAAAAACTGCTTAAAATATTGTTTCCTTTAAAGTTATCCTTTAAAGATATCGAGCATCAGGGATATTCTGCTCTGTGAAATGTCGTTCGGTCCGGCACTCAAAGATTCAGCTTCAAATTGAAGCGCGGTGTAAATTTTAATGTATGATCATCCCTTTGAACTAAGAATTCTCAATTCAGTACAACTGTTTGAGATGGATAGCAAGTCGTTTACCAGAGAACAATGTGGGTAAGGATATTTTAGCAACATGGCATTCTAGCATGGTCACATGAAGTTTTGGAAAATTACGCATGTGCAGTCCGATGCGCTTGTTTTATAAATGTGTGCAAATTGACTCTCCCGACAGCTCATTTGATAAATATAAGTTGTGACTCGTAAATGAAAAGGTAATTTATATATAAAAGTACCGGACCTCGTAGCTTACAACGAGACGTTATTTGTTTTAAACGTGTTTTGCTTTTAATGTCTGGCATTTTTCAGTATGAGCACAATGAAGAACCCGATTAACGAACTTTACGACGTGCTGCATCTGTTTTGTCTTTCCCTACAGTTGGACATCATTTGTTGTCAGGCGGCTCAGATGATCAGCGAGCAAAGGAATGAAAACATGGCTGTTGACGAATACGTCCGTGGACAGCGGCTGGTCATTACCTACTGGAAGGACCACATTTACACACCCGGCCCGAAACAACAAAATGAGCTAGAGACGGCGAAGTCGGTTCCAATCATCAACCATAAGCTCATCATATACACTTCACAAGATGATCCTAACAAGCCTCTTCAGGTTCAGCATATGCCCAAGTCTGACCTTCTCGATTTGCCGACTTCGATCAGTTGCCAGAAGCTGTCGCTAGAAAATCTTCTCGCCGATACTGTTTTGGTGCGCATAAGGCACCGCTTGCAGCAACTGAAAGAGCGCATCGAATTCTGCTTGGGGATAGAGTGCGAAATCGTCGGCCAGTTGCCATCTTTGCTCGTGCATCTGGTCGACCCCTGCACGAAAACTGAAATTCTGTTCATAGTGATTAATTTCTTTACCGGTCGCTTCATTTCCGACGTGCCAGTGATGAGTATCGAATTCATTTTTTGTGTTAATATTTCTTCCATTTTTGATTTATGGCCGTTGTTTTCAGAGCACAACCCAGTGTTCGACGAACTCGATCGTATGCTGAATCGCGCAGCATGGGCAGGATTGAGGAGTGCCTTTGTCAACTTGAGGTGAATCATTTTTCTTCAGCAAACGTTTGTTGTTAGTGCCGATGTTGACTTAGTAGGCACCGACTGGTAATTTTTCCGCTTCATCTAATTCTGGGCGGTTTTCTTCGATTATAATTGAGTTTATGGAACGTTTTTAATGGTACTGAGCTAAATCTAGTGATAAGAACTATGATTTGTTTCTCAGTAGGTGTAGGTTTGCTCAATGCTGTGTAATTCTTCACTGACACGCCTTCGCTTTAGTAACTTTTAATTTGCTTCTGAGACCTGTTTTGTTGTTTTTAATCATCACCTTGAGCAGTGAAACAGCGTCTCCATTACGCGGTGTCTGTTGCATTCCCAATTTTTCAACACTTTCGGTAAATGTTATAGCGGTACTGCGTCTTAGAAAATGTCTTCACGCACGCTGTTCCTCTTTCTTGTTTATCGATGCTGAATTTGCCTATTTGCTTACAACCGGTGTGCTACTATTTGTTACCCGTGCGATGTAAATGAGTCATTTATTGTCTGTTCACCTGGATGACCAAAGGCGGATCTTA